ACTGTAAAAAAGATGATGTGTGATGAGGTAGACAGATAAGTCGGAGAATATGCACCATGAGTACTGAAAAGGAGAGGAAGGGAGGTCTGCAATACTATATATATATATATATATATAGACACACACACACACATACATTGGTCAATATATACATTAAGCTTTAGCTCCACACATTTTGCCTAAAAGGCAGAGTGAGGGTGAGGGACCACACGTACGTGAGCTCAACTCATGGAAGGTGGCTGCACTGCACATTCCACGCATGGAATCAGCAATCCATGCACACTCCCTCGAGCTCTTTCCTCATGCACGTCCAGACAACCTGGAGTATCTGCAAGTTATTTCTATTTGTACATTTGATATCTTTGTTCCTTTTATTGACAACCATATGACAACCATATGTAATCAATAGCATTTAAATACAATCTACGAAATCATATGTACCACACATGCATGTTCTGCGAATCAAGCAGGCCGCAGGCCAATCATGACTGTATATTAAACATGTTCATGCATGATTTATTAGGAACTTGATTTACATATATAGAACTGCATATTCAAGTAACGACTTGGACACACACACACACACACACATTGATAGTGTTCGAGTGCTAAGCAATCTACATCACAATGTCTTCGGTCATGATCCAAACTATTTGTTCTTTAAATCATCATTCTAATGTCACACATACAAAACTAATAAGCAAATTCAAAATCGTCTCGCCATGTAATTGTTATAAAAAAAATTTACATATTGTCTTAAAGGATATATTGTGTTAGTTTATCTGTTTCAAATCATGAGATTCTACATAAATAAAAAATATAAATAAAAGTACATAATACACATGATCCATGAACATTATGCATACTGTGTCATAAATCACCTTATAACTGGAATCACGATCAAGCCACTGAGAACGCCACGTACTTTATATAGTGCTTGTCCAGCTAGCTCAGTTATCGTTATTTTGTCGAAGTTCTAAAAAGATATCATGTGCTTTGGTTTGTCTTTGGTATCTAACATCACTCTTTATCAAATTGCACATGCTCAAGAAAGAAACAAAAGGGGAAGACCAGTTGACCAATTGTTACCCCCCAGAAAATATTGGTCCTACGCTTACCAAATGGTCCTCAAAAATGCACTATATTACTATAGGTAATCAAATTATTTTGTCGAAGTTCTTATTGATCGACATTAAGGTTGGCCATACAACGTGAAAAATCTTCCCATAATTCTTTTGACCTCAATGATATATGGTTTACACTTAAAAGAAAATTTTGGTTAGACAGTGACATGTCTTGTTCGACCATCAAATAAAATGTTGCCTTATCATCATTTACTTACTCCTAAACTGTTATTAACAAAAATATTAACATCTATGTAATCAAAGAATCAATAATACCAATGGTATAAACAACATATCAATAATCAATAACCAATAACGTGTTATAACATTAAGTTATCGTACGTATCAAAGTGTTCACTCAAGATTCTCCTTACGGTAAGACCTCTAGGCTCTGTAGTGTTTCTTTCATTGTACAAGAGGTCGACAACCAGCAACCAACAAATTGTCGACAGGATAGATGGATTGAAATTTGGGTTTGAATATAATATTCCTATACACAAACTCGTTTATTTTCGATGAACTCAAAACCGTAGAATCTTTAGATGGATTTTTTTGGTAATCAAACACGTCGGTTAACGAATTTCCCGTCGGATAACGGTTTTCCCGATTATAACATTATGTATTTATATCACATATGGGTGAGTTTAACATCTCTAATTTAAAAAGAATAAAAAAAAAAAAAAAAACCTCCCTCCCTCTCTATCTCTCTCCTCACTATCACATTCTCTTTCACTTGCTTCCTCTCTCTCCTTCAATTTTAAAAACAAAAATAAAAAATTTCGCACACACACTACTATAATAGTAGTCTATTTAATCTCGTTTTTATTAAAAATTTGCTATTTAGTTACTAATATAATGCATATAATAAATAAGATAATACTAGCAAACAATGCCTCTGCGCAATGTTGCGGGATTGAAAACAATATAAAATTTTGTATATTACTATTTACATACAAAAGATTTAGTAGATAGTCCTATTAAAAATCATACAAAATCTATAAACAATCAGATTGTGATACATAAGCTAATATGTGCATACCCCTCTTTACTTTGAACGCCCCTGCATACAACAACAACGAAGTCTTAACTTACAAAATCACAGATCAAATTAAATAAAAATTTCCAATAAAACTTAATCACAAATTTCATCTGAATAATTATCAAATAACCAAAAAAAAAAAAAGAAGAAGATTAAAAGGGTCAAATGAATGAATTAGGAATTTAGGAGAAGACATGAATACTTATAAATAAATAAATAAATAAAAAACCAAAATCAATATTAACATTTTCTATACATGTTCATGGTTCTATACATAAGCATATTTGTTGATTTGGTAATGCTAGAGAGACTAAATTTATAAACAAAATTTGCAAACTAAATTATGTGTCACCAATAGAAATGAGCACATTTATCGTCGCTTAAGTCATAATCCAAATCCAATCATCAATTTTCATATTACTTAATTTACAAAATTTAATTTACAAATTTATCTTCTTAGCATTACCCTAATTGATTTAAAAATTAAAGCAAAGGCTTTGGCCTTTTACGACATACTAAATACCTCCCTTAGTTCGAAAAATAAAATGACTCTGCATCAGCAGCAAGCTTTGTTTTTCAGTCTTTTTCATCCTAATCCACCTTTTATGGCATATTGTTTTTCAGTCTTTTTTTAATAATTTTTTTTATCATAATCCATCCTTTTATTGGTCTGAGACATTTCATCTCTATTTCCTCACAAAATCTCCCTGATTATTCAGCCGTTTATTTACATCTGTGAAATTCAAAATCAAACTCAGCAGAACGCACAAACCAAACTTAGATTAGGAAAAACCCTCAATTTCTCAAAATCCCACCATATATTTTCATATTGACTGCCCAACGGCGAGGAATTTTCGAATGAGAGAGATAGAGAATTTTAGAGAGGAACCAAAAACACCAATCCTCTCCCTTTCATCTCAGAAACCAAAATCACTCGTCGCATGCCTCGTTACATACCGGCAAGGAGAGGGTTCTTTTTTTGTTGGTTTGGTCGTCGTCCCAGCTGGGTCGCGGGGAGAGGAGTGAGAGGAAGAGAGAGAAGGGAGAATCAAGAAAAAGAATATAAAATAAAAGGAAGTGTTATTGGCACTTCAAAAATCTCATTCTACACTCTTCGTAAATGTATTTTTCCTTTATAATATAGAAAGTTGAGAGTGTCGAATGAGATTTTTGAAATGCTAATAATAATTCCCAAAATAAATACAGTACATATATATCTAATGGGTGTATCACGATATAATCAAAATTAGTGTAAAGTTGGGAGGGTAAAATCAGTTAACCACTGTTTTATGAATAGTGTTTCAGTGAATTTTCAACTTAAGTATATATTAAATTTATATTTTCAAGAAAATATTTATATTAATAATAATTGATAAGCATATAATTTGGGGTAGTGTTGAGTCCACACCCTTATTAATTTTTGTTTATTGATCATTTTTAATTCATTTGATCTGACGATTAAATATTAAGAGTAGGTGTGTGAAGCAAAAATAGATGTGTGTGAATAACATCACCCATGATTTATACTATTAATGATAATAATGCATTTAATTATAGCATGGACTTCCATATTTAATAATGCATGATTATTGATAACTCGTTTTTCAATATAATAAATTAATATTTATTTATTAAAAAATAAAAATGGTTTTGTTTCGGGTATGGGTTCGATGGCAGATAACCCAACCATAACCTGAAATTGAAGAATTTTCATGACGGTTACCCATAACCGTAAAACATTCGAAAATGAATCCCAAAACAAACCATTTGGATCGGTTACCTGCAAAGATTGAACCCAATACCTCTTACTTACAAGTGAAAAAGAATACCATTAGACCGTAGTACTAAGTGACAGCTACTAATTTTGTGCTAGAAGTAATCTAAATTTGGACGAAAACCTCAAACCTTAATCCCTGAGAGTGAATTTGGACCCGTCCTTTGCACGTGCCTCAACCAACTGGTACAATCTTCCATTCTTTGACCTTTCTCAAGATTCGAACTTTCGGACATCTTCCAAAATTGGATTAACCGCTAGACTAAGATCGAGTTCGTTTGGTCTAATGCTGTTACTTTGAGTTTTAGAGCAGTTCCACCGGAGGGCTTTTTGCCCAGCACCCAGTTGAAAAAATAGGCTAGCACCCAGTGAATCCCCTCCAGCCGACGCAATTGACTGGCGCCCAGCCCAAGCTGGTCTCTAGCCCAGTCCAAAATTGACTGAGGCGTGGCCCAGTCCATCTGACGCCAGCGTGGCGTCCGACGCTTGGAACCCCGTCCCGATGCTTTGAACTCCGTCTCCGGCGAGGAAGATGGCTGGACGACGCTACCTTCGAGGACGAGGCTGCCGACCCAGAACTTCCTGTTGAGGACGAGCTGGTCTTGGAAGCTGTTGAGGACGATGACATCAAATCCGGCGATGCAGCTGAAGGACAGGGCGTAGGTCCAGAGGCGGCGGGTTTGGAGCTGGCGAGCCCAGGCGCCGATGTCAACTAGTTTGGGGCGGGTCAGACCGCGGAGGGCGGTGGAGAGGAAGCGGAGGGTGAAGGGGAGGTGGAGATTTGATGGAGGGTGGAGATGGGGAGGGTGAGAGAGAAGGCTCACGGTGATGGTGAAGGAGAGAGAGGGAGAGAGAGCTCACTGCCAAATTATTATTTTTTATTATTTTATAATAAAAATAATAATATTTTAATAAAATGGACTAGGCTATTTTTTGTTAGGGGTGGAAATGCTTTGGCCTATTACTGTTTATATGGGTTTATTACTGTTCACTGGAGTGGATAAATGCGCTGAGTGCTAGCACAAAGTCCTTCGGGGTGGACTTGCTCTTATGGATTACAATCTCAAAACAAGAACTGATTAAATGGCAGTTGAATTTGGAACTTCTCAAGAACAGTACATATGCTTCAGTAATAATCACACGACCGACTGGTTTCTGTCCCTACAAACAGTGATATTCAATGTTTCTTACCCCTACATTCCCCTCTTTTGGAACATGATAATCCAATCTAACTCCTGAGCTATTGGGGAAGTAATATTTACGTTGCTAAATGAATCTATTCATACTTCTTCCGGTTCGGCTTTCCTTTAGGTATCTTGCTGAGGACACCGGCATCCAGCTTCTGGTAATTGTGTTCAAGCAGCCCGAGGACCTGGTATACAAAGCTGTCAACCTGATCATCGTATCTCTCATACAGAACCGGCAATGTGTGAGCAGCAACAAAACCTAACAAAGAACGAAGCATCAGTTCTCTTGCATATACACAAAACCAGATTACGCACCGTAAAACTTAGTTTTCAATTCCATGCAGAGAGTGATGCATAACGCAAAATGGTGAAAGAAAACGAAGTTTTTGTTATGTAAATGCAAAATTCGGATGACAATCAAATACTTTTTCTCCCGACCATCTTCATGGTTATCCCAAATTTTAAGCATCCTATTGACAGAACATGTGATGTATCAGATCATGCGGCAACAAGAGAGACTCGTTATCATTAGTGGTTGGAGCTCTCACCAATGTACAAAATGGTCAGCAAATTGCACCAGCTTCCTATCACAGCAGCAATCCACAAGCATCCTACAACCTGAGAGGATACCTCAACAGTTCAGTACAATCTTTAAAGACTAAGACTTTAGGTAAAAGTATATAAGAACAGGCTGGCATTCCTACGATAACTTAAATTGAGGACCTCATTTGAGGACTTGCATATCAGTCATCAGATCAACGATACATGGTTGAGAGGCATAGTGAGTGAAGGGTGGATATGATGTACTTTAATCATATCTAATATAACAGCTGACATGCAATCTTCCAGTAACATTCACAACTTAGATCATATCCGTATAATAAATATAGAAAGAACAATAATAGTTGAAACATACCTTAAGGAATTGCTTCACATTTCCTCCATATGCCACATCTTGAACAAATGCCAACCCTCGATTAATTTGAGCACCAATTGAGACGGCAATATTGACGAATAAGTCCTCAGGCAGAACAAGTCGAGGTACTTTAGATGGGGAACTGCTGCCAAGGAGAAACAATACTGAGATCACAATATTCACCTCTACTGTACACAAAACAGGAATCAAGCAAAACGAAGAAGCTCAAAACTCAACATTGCAAAGTGACCTGCTAATCATGCCTGAAAAATTTGACCACAGGAACTGAACAAGCATGCCAACAACCAAAGCAAACCCCACAAGAGTCAAGAAATGATAATTGAGCCATTCAAAGAGCACCCAGACAACAGTTGCAGCAGTTAAAACACTAGCTGAAATTTTTTTGTTCCTCCACAACAAGACATCAGCAGCTACATAATTCAACCATAAAAGAGAAGAATTAAATATAAGGAGACTTGGTGGAGGCAACAACTTATAATTGCATAGAACATGATCATTGCATGTAATGAATTATGAAACAGAATTATATAATACATTTGCCTCCACCCAAAATGTGGTGGACAGGTTTCTGGCGTCCAAACAGCCGGTTGGACTGAGTGGTCACCGAGCTTGATGTCTCTTCCCCAAATAAAGAGCTAGATTTCAGTTTCGTATCAGCAAGTGTGCCCGCGATGTTGTTCACGAGGTCCTCGGTAGTTATTTTCTCAGGCATTGCTGCTACACTTCAAGAAAACAAACTCTAGTCAAGAGAGAAACTCTATACAGAATTTTTTTTTATGAATTTGGAATTATTTAAAAGCACGAATAAAGAAATGAAATTTTCCTCGGTCTGCCTCCCATCCCCATCCTCCCCAGCCCAACCCCGCAAAAAAAAAAAAAAAAAAAAAAACAGATTTAGAAAAATCATCCCTGCTTAGATAGTGCATGCTATATGCATATGTCAATACATCTGTTGCCTCTGTATCTAACTTTTGCATAATGGAACAGTCACCACACAAGTTTTTCATCTGCCTTGCAGGATGCTCCTCGGTTAAGCACCCATTAAATGATTTACAAATAAAGGCACAAAAATGGTCATGCTAAAGCAATGTAACTAATAATGTAGGCACAACAAAAGGAAAAGGTAGGCAAGCACCTAATGCAGAACATTGCACTTTGTAGCCTCAAATAAAAGGAAACTGCTATCCATATGATATATTCTCTTTATACATGATCAGCAGAAAAAAGATTTGTGCTTATGCATCATTCAACCCTTATATACAAAGCACCAAATCCTCTAAGCTAACCAGATTCTCAACTGGATCATTGGGTCAGTCACATGAACAGACGTAACAGAAATTGCTCCAAGCTAACCACGTTCTCTCAGCATCTAGACTCACATCCAAAAATTGTAGACCACCAAAAGGGAAAAATTCAGAAGAATATCTTGCAAAAGAAAATTTGGAAGATCACACAAACAAAATTTGCATTAAACAGCCTCTTTACCACAAGACCCATATTTATTTATGAAATTTATTTTCCTCAAATTATCAGTTCAAACCAGAAACTACCAACTGAAAGCGTAGAATAGAGTGGAGGAGTTCAAATGGCCCTCCAATGAAATCAAACAGATTACAAGGGAAATCACATTGACAGAAAGAAATTGTAGCCTAACAGAAACAACTGAACTAAGCAGGCATAACAGTTTTCACTCCACTAGCTCTAACACGATTGCTGCTCAGTAGAAGATAAATACTTTGTACTTGTTAACCACCATATCTCCAATTTATTAACCATAAATACACGAAAGTTTGTGCATTGAGCATTTGTCATGTGTTACTATAAGGACATCAACACGCCACAAAAAAAAAAAAAAACTAGTTTCTATTCGCTCTGTGATCGGTACTTTATGCCAAGAAAGGGCAAGAACCACAAGCTAAATGAAATACTGTAAACGGAAGTTTCCCTAAAAGATACTCCAAGCTGAACAATTTAACAATACTAGGGGGGAAAACCACCAATACCAAGACGTAATTTTGGAAAATGGAATCACAACAAACCATATAAACAAGTTCCAATTCACACAACTTTACCAAAGATAACAAAATTCTTCCCAAATTCTAATGACCCAGAAATTCAATTTCACATATCAACTAAAATCAACTTCCTCTAACAAAATCACTTCTTGAAAAGTGAAACTAAACAAAGAAATCACAATAAACTCAACCCCATTTCTACAATTCAAAGCATCAAAATTCATTACAAAAAATACAACCATTTGCAGAATTTAAGCCAAACGTAAAATAAAGCAAAAACTAGGGAAAAGTAAAAGATGGGTTTTACCTGAGGAGATAAGATTAGAGCAAGAAAGAAGAAGCAAAGGATGATGGGTTCTTCTTGTAGATTATGAATTATGATGGCATATGAGTGCAGAGCACTGAAGTTGGAGAGGACAAGTAGAAATAGAGCTCCAGAAACTAACGACAATTGGCGTGCAGGACTCGAATATTTGTTTTTCTATTAGAAAAAGGGCTGTTAAGTATGCAAACGCACTCAAACGGTCGCCGCATGCATTTCTACCTTGAAGACTTGCAGTTGGTAAACTGTAAACTATATTCTTTTTTCTTTTTAATGAAAGAAAATTTCTGTTTAAATCATTATCTTGGTGCAAATAGTAGATTGTCTAATAGTTAGTGTATTCTTCTTCAATCGCGTTGAAATTATTTCTCCGTCTTTCAGTATAAATTAGTATAGAATATCGTTTGAAATTAAAACAATTACTTTTATCAGTGCGGTTTAGCACTTTGTTTTAATGGTAGTTATTTATCCGACCCTCGTGAGTGGCTTTTTATATCAAATTTTTAGTATTAATATTATTATTTTTGATACAACGATATACATCAAAGAAAAAATAAATTGAAACCTCATTTGTCATTTCTAAAACTCAATTTCAAAATCTCTTAGTTACAAATAAAAAGTAATCACTAAATTGTAATTATCACTCACTCAAATTGTATTCTCAGAAATATTATTGAAGCCATGACAATGAAATGATGTTCACAACATGCATGTGGAACTTACTAAATGACAATTAGATTCACGTGAATATATTGTGAAAAAAAAAAAATGGTTTTGTATGGTGTGCAATGGACAAGTGTAGGTTCACTACTTAAGTCCGATCCAGCGCTGAATTGTTTTTAACTTAACCTCCCCAATTACCTTGAGCGAAATTGGGTCGAATAAACCATACTAGATTTTAGGTGGAGTTTTATGTCCGGATCTCTTCTACCAAGGTCATTGGATCAAGTGATTCGGGGCTTTGAAATTTCATCCAACATTAAAAAATTATTATAGTTTTTAAGGGATTAAAACAGGTGGGTTGTTGGATAAAATTTCAAAAATCCGGATCACTTAATTCGATGACCTTGGTGAAATAGATCCGGAGAGGATCTCTTCTCGAGTTTTATCTCAAAAAGTATCGAAGCTAGTAACCATGAATCACCTGATATAACTTGTGAGAATACACTACCTACCTACACATACACACACGCACGCACATCACTTTTGAACAGAGTTTATTCATTGCTATTATATCCATATTAACGACTTGTATTGTATCGAGCCATACAACATGACTTACCAACTTCTAACTAATTAATGTCTACGTATGATTAATGGGCACCGATTTAGTTAAATGAATGCTTGTTTAAACGTTAAATGTGGTAGTGAGTGGTAGTGTTTGGTAATCCTAAACGTATTAAGAAGCACTTTTAACTAGAGTTGAATTTGATCAGTAACCAAGCTCGAGATGCCAAAACTGAAAATGGAGCCAACTCCTTGGGTTGAGCCATTTTTTTATGCCAACACCACCCCGCAGCCAGGCCAAACCGATCACATCGATCAGCCAACTTCGACGGTGCGGTTCGGCCGGCGACGGGTTTGTTTTTAGAAGGGAGTTTGAGGCCTTCAAAGGAAACCCATAACTAAATTGGTCCATTCCTCAGACGGGCCCTCCTACAGAAAACATAACAAATGTCCAAAGTGCAAATGCATGACTTGGAAACAAAAAATGTACGAAGGCAAAATGAGAACAATGCCACATGTCACCAATGAAAACCTCTGCAACCTTATCCCACATCAAAATCTAATCTTCCAAGTCATCCAATTCCCTGATCCAATATCCAAAAATTAACCAACCATTTGCCTTCACGTATCACACAAAGAAACTTAACATATCCAAAAACCCAACTTTCCCCAGCTCACATTCTACACCACACTTGAGACGATCACAAAGAAGAGTGAGTGTGAAGGAAATGGCCTCCACTGCATGCTTTTTGCACCACCATGCACTAACTACCGCCGCTTCTGCCCGGTCATCATCGTCGTCACAGCGCCAAGTGGTGAACATCAACAAGCACAACCAGGTTGTGATCTGCCGGGCCCAGAAGCAGGCAGCCGGCCAGGAAGAAGAGAGCGGTGCTAACGTCTCACGGCGGTTGGCTCTCACAGTCCTCATCGGTGCTGCAGCCCTTGGCTCCAAGGTTTCCCCTGCTGATGCAGCTTATGGTGAATCGGGTACACACACTCACTCACTCACCCTTACGAAACCTTTACGTAGTTAATTAATATACGAATTGTTCTCTTGTCAGACAATCTTTTCAATACGAACACTTGAATTGTTTGGTGTTTCTTAAAGCGTAGTACAAACTGACAGCCTAGCAACATAACACGATCTATGTATAATGTGCTCATTCTGCATTGATCAAAGTGACTTATAATTATTGATTGAATGCAACTGCAGCCAATGTCTTCGGAAAGCCAAAGTCGAACACAGACTTCTTGCCATACGTTGGAGAGGGATTCAAGCTATCCATTCCTGCAAAATGGAACCCTAGCAAAGAGGTTGAGTTCCCTGGTCAAGTTCTTAGGTACGAGGACAACTTCGACAGCAACAGCAATGTGTCCGTCACAATCACCCCAACCGACAAGAAATCCATCGCCGACTATGGCTCCCCCGAGGAATTCCTCGCGAAGGTGTGCTAGCTTCTTCTTTTTTCCGATGACAATGTAAAATATGTTACAATTACATCGTCCAAGTACTTCCAATTACTAACAATTCAGTTATGGTGTGGGTTTTTCTAGGTGGACTACTTGCTAGGCAAACAAGCCTACTTTGGCAAGACTGAATCCGAGGTAATTAGTTGTATAACACACACAAAAATAATGCTAAAGTCTCCAAATTTGTTTACTGAATAACGTTATGTCACTAAACGAGGTTCATAATTGAACAAATGAAATATTGTCACATCACTTAACAAATAAAACTATGTGATCCTAAAAATACTCAATAGAAAAGCACAACGGTGGCAACTGTGTGAGTTCTTATGGAATTTGAATTTGAATTTGAATATGGTATAGGGTGGTTTCGACCCGGGTGCCGTGGCCACAGCCAACATATTGGAGAGTTCTAGTCGAGTGATTGACGGAAAGCAGTACTACTACGTATCTGTGTTGACAAGGACAGCCGACGGAGATGAAGGAGGCAAGCACCAGCTTATCACAGCCACCGTGAAAGACGGCAAGCTCTACATTCTAAAGGCACAAGCCGGAGACAAGAGGTGGTTCAAAGGAGCAAGGAAGTTTGTAGAGAGCACTGCAAGTTCTTTCAGTGTTGCATAAGAATTTATTTGAGAGGGTTTGTGTAATGTAAATTACCTTAAGATTGTGAATTGTCTTTGAGCTCTCTAGTTTTTCTTCTTCTTTTCTCCTCTCAAGTGTTTAAGAGTTGGCTATAACTGAGGAAATGGTTGAGCATATATAGTTGTTTCATGGTATTAAGAGAAGGACCAGTTCTCTTCTGCTTGTGTAAGTCAAAGAAATTACGGGCCTCTTACTCGAGTGGTTAAGAGCGTTTACCCTCGAGCGTCAGAGTTCCTATGTTCGTTCTATTGTTTCTATCGTTATGAAACTTCATAAATGGTATAGAATTTAAACACCAATTGCCATATGGAAACTTATACCGAGAGATTCAGAACAATTCTGAACAAACCAGACAGCAATTTCTGTTCCTCTGAAATCTGAATGCAATAGAATCCCTAAACACATGAATAGCATGGAATGAATAACGCACAAACGTAAATCTACGAAAGAGGAAGCCTGCATCGCCAGATTGCCCCCATACAATTAGGGTTTACCGAAGAACGTACCAAGGAAATTTCTCGTGCACAGAAGTTCGGAAATCGATTCAAAGAAAACAAATCAAGATAATAAAATGAAACAGTAAATTTATTAATACTTGCTGCACAATCCACATGCTTGTTTGACATGAATGTCTGATTTTTTGAAGATGATAAAAAGGCATTTACACAAAAAGCAATGGTCAGAGAAAGAAATTATAACCAGAGATTAGCTTTTTCAAGTCTTTTTATCATGTTCCTCCATTACAATTTAAATGGATGCCATTGCTGTGTGCACCCCTGTGCTTCACCTTTTGCTCGCTCAGGCCCCATATCCGAATTGTACGGTCATCGCTGGCAGAGGCGAACATGTGCGGGTTTGCTGGATTCCAGCTGACACAATTAACAGCACCAGAATGACCCGGCAATGCCTCTATGAGCTCCCCTGAGCCTCTATGCCATACATAAACCTGCAGAGTGAAACCATCAATTAGCACTCTGAAAGGGGAGTGACAAGTAATCTTCAAAGCATTTATGTACACGTCCTCCTGTGATGTCCTCTTAATGCCATTGATCATGTTGACCTCACCGTACAGTGACAGTCCGAGATGATCCACATCATCCAGCAATACACAGAGGCATGAATGAACAAATATCCAACAGAAAAGAATGGATTAAACTAACAAATAAATGTCTGCGTTTTTAATTTAGCCTCCATGCCCTGGCACTGAGCGACTAAAGTGGTTCAACCCTCAATGTAAACAATACACACAAAAGAACAAAATAAACGTGAAGCCAGTCTCATCTGTCATTAATGAAACTGCATCAACGGAACTACACTAACGATCATATCTTGTACTCACAAAAAAGCAGGATGGAAGACATATAACTAATAACAGATTTAAACATGAACATTTATACGGCTGTTAACTGATATGTCCAGACTTGAACCTGATATTGATTATACGACATTGACGTTATTCAAAGGAAAACATAAGCAAAAAAATGCTTCAGCATCACTCTTCTATTTCTGCTTAAAAACTAAAAGCAAAGAGGGTTTAGGATTAACAAAATTCTTTACCTGTGAATCCTCACTACCGCTAGCAACAAAAGCTTCTTCAAGTCCACCAAAACAAGACCTGATAACAAATCGGGTGCGTTTGTGACCTTTGTACTTAGCGACAAGCTTGTTTTCACCTTCTATGTTCCAGAGATGGATTTCTTGGTTCAGAAGATTAACCAACAAGAACCTATTATCTCTTGATAAAGAAAAAGATGTTATAGTTTGATCTTCTTCAATAAATGTCTCAACTTTGACTTCCCTGTCGAGGAGTAATATAGCATTCTC